ACGCTGACATCTTCTTTTCCGTCGTCTGCCAGCCCTGCTGATCGCCGTCAGCACCGCCGTGGATAAGGTTATCGCCCACTTCAGCACCGCGCGGAACCTGGTGCAGAAGGTGAGGGTCTGGGCTGAGGCTCGGACCGGGCTGGGGTGGGCAGGAGCGAGCGCCGCCCGTGCAGGCTTTGGAGGGGCTTTGGGAGCTCCTGGGGGAGGATCCCACCATCCCTCCCCGTGGGCTCAGGGTTAGGTGCTGCCATTCCCCCTTCCTCTCCTCTCCTTGTGCCTCCCGACTTCAGGCCCAGCTGGGAGACAGCCGGCTCAGCCCCGATGTTGGTTACCTGCTGCTGCACACCCTCTGCCCTGCGCTCTACGCCTTGGTGGAGGACGGGCTGAAGCCCTTCCAGAAGGATGTTATCACAGGCCAGAGAAAGAATTCCCCCTGGAGTGTGGTGGAAGCCTCCGTGAAGACAGGTCGGTGTGAGGAACATGCTCCTGGAGATGTTGGGATCAGCATCTCAAGTGCCTGGAGTGCTTTCCCAGCCTGGTCTGGGGGAGGATGTGCCCCCCGAGCTGGTGACTCTCTGTGTCGTGTGTTCCTCAGGCCCCAACACCCGCTCGCTCCACTCCCTGTGCTGGCACGTGGCCGGGCTGGCCCCTCTCAGCAGCACCAGACAGAAGTTTCATGCCTTCATCCTCGGCCTTTTGAAGTGAGTATTGGCCCTCGACGGCCCAGGCTGTCCTTGCTGCGGTGGTGGGTTGGAGCAGAGTCCCAGGAGCTCTAACCTGGTTCCTTTGTCTTGTTTAGCATTAAGCAGCTGGAGCTGTGGATCTCTCACCTGCAGAAGAGCCCAGGTAAGGACACATTGCCCAGAAGCTCCTCACCCAAGTCCTCTTCTTCTTGCCCATCCCCGTCCCACCGACGATGCTTGGCTGGCATTTCCGTAGTGGGCAAGGGCATCATTTTCCGTGGCTGTCACACTGGATGAGGGCAGACAATTTGGGGCATCATTTGGACCTGCTAGGACAGACCTGATGGCCCTGGGAGGGATGGCAAGGGCAGGGCATTCTGCAGCGCTGTCCATGTCTCGTAGGTGTGATCTCCACGCTGTATTCACCCATGGCCTTCTTTGCCCTGAGTCAAGGCCCTCTTCCCCACCTCGCTGATGAACTGCTGCTGCTCATCCAGCCCCTCTCAGTGCTGACCTTCCACCTTGACTTGCTCTTCGAACACCACCACCTCTCCGTGGATGTCAGACCCTTGTCCCGTCGGCTGGAGTCACCCCTGTCTCCTGCCCATTGCGCCACTCAG